GAGATACGGCTTGCTCCGCATTAAAGGGGGACCTGAAACCCTCTTTTTTAAATTGAGGGTCTAAAATTGTGGCCAACCGAGTGGAGGACCTCGCCTTCTTTGGTTCTTAACTTCTCTCTTTTTTCGTGTAAACTCTGCACAAGACCATTCGATATGGGAATTATGCAAGATACCAGTGGCGTAGCGTGCCTTGTCGGGGCCCCGTATAAAAAAATTTTGTGGAGGCCCTTATATGGAGGTAAAGATTTTTCACAAAAGAAAACAAGAAAGGAAGCTAGCTTCGGCAAACCGAAGCTTTTATACCCTTGCAGTCATCAAATATGTCGAAAAAAAATACATAACGGCTAAACAACATCGAAGCTAAGACGATTTTTCTATTCATTTTCTATATTTTCGACTATTGTTCAAATGACGGCTATATGATATACTCGTCCGATTTCGATGAAATTTAATTCGGTATTCAAGAGTCGTTAGAAAACTCTATATTCCAAAAATCATGCTAGTCTGATGAAAAACAACGATGTTACAATTTGATTTCCGTTATTTCTATATAGATTTTTCGATCTTTCCTATGGCAGCTATAAGATATAGTTGTCCGATTTTTATGAAACTTTTTTCTCAATATAAGAGTTTTTAAAAACTTGATATTCAAAAAATCATACTTGTGGGATAAAAAACAACGATGTTATCAATTTATTTCCATTAATTTTGATCAAATTTAATCCGAAATTCAATAACAGTTCGAAAACGCCATCTTAAAGAAATCAAGTCGATCTGATCAAAAACAACGGCGTGAGAATTTTTTATTTCATTCTCTCGTATGGGAGCTATCCGATATAGTTGGCCGATCCGACTTATATACTGCGTGCAATAACTACACATCTTTTGGGAAAGTTTCAGACAGCTTTAAAACTGAGAGACTAGTTCGTGCGGAAACGGACAGACGTATTTTGATTCTACTCGTGATGCTGATCAAGAATATATATACTTTATGGGGTCTGAGGTGTCTCCTTCACTGCCTTGCAAACTTCTGACTGAAATTATAATACCCTTTTGCTCTGCAAGGGTATAAAAAATATTGTGAGAAGAAATATTTATTTATCACATTATTTACCCATTTTACAAATAAAAATCAAATTTTAAGTATTCACTCTTACACACTTGATACGGCAAATACGGCGGTAGCTACGCCCCTGCAAGATACGGTTTCTTTTGTACTCGAAGATAATTGAGAGGTAACTTAATCGAATGGAGCCAGCACGTCTTTTAAATCTTCCAAGACCGCAACATCGTCTGCAGCCAGGGGCTCCGGCGCCTTGGACAAACTTAGAAATACAGGGGAAATATGCTCCTTGGTCAATAGTATGCGCTCTACCATTTTAAACGCGCTGTTCCAGCGGGTACATACCTCTTGTATCAAGCTGTACGGCTTGTAGACTCGCGCTTTTTTTAACCTCTCGTAGGCGATAGTGCTGCATTTAAAAAATGTGACAATACGCTTGCACTTAGTCAAAACCGTTTGAATGGATTTTAGAGAAAGCGAGTCCTGTACAACAAGATTTATGCAATGCGCGTAGCATGGCAGATGTCTCTTTTCCAGCAGCTCACAAGCCTTTATCATGCTGCTAGCATTATCGGTTACAATTGTGCAGACTTTTGGCAACAGATTCCAACTAATGAGTTCTGCGCGCACTGATGATGCAATGTTATCAGCAGAATGGTTTGTTGCACAAAGGAGTGGCTGCGTTGACAATACTGCCGATCTCAGCTGGAGTGCACAGTAATGGTCAAATAACCTGTATACCTGTACTTTGACAAGGATGGTCTGCAGTTTTACTGCCATCTCCGCGTATATGTTTTGCATGTGTACGTTTTGCAAAGTCGTGCGTGACGGCAAAGTATAGCGCGGATCCAACACTTTCACGAAGTTTCTAAAGCCTTCGTCATCCACAATAGAGAACGGTTGTATATCCTTGGCAATCATCTGCATCAACGCCGTGTCAAGGTTTGCTTTTCGCACTGACTTGCTGTCGTTGGGGAGAGTGGGGATAGGTGAACCACTTTTTTTTGTTGAACATTATTATGTCTGAACAATTCGACGTTAGGGTCTGCTGTATATAGGAATCTAAAAGAGCATTCATTCCTTTGCATTTAAGGTATTTTGTAAAAATAATATGTCACGTTTTTTGAACTTTATGAGCATTTTAAATTTTTGTCTCGAATGAATCACCCGTGGGGATACTTGAACCACACCACAAACATAGTTGAACCACCTTTCAGGCTAATGGAATCTTTTGAATTGCGTGAGATATACGTGAAAATAACATAATTTGCGTCTATTTAAGTTAACAAAAAATTTTCTAGAGTGCAATGCCACAGGCGGAGCACAATAAATTTTTCCCAAGAAAACGTCAGGTCGAAAATAGCTGCGATTAGTGATAGAAATGACAGAAATTTTTTGACGCGATCACGCGTACGTGTGATGTTAAGATACCGACTGGATAAACAACACATATGAAGATGGTGCACAAAATCCTGATAGAAGGTGAAATATTACTAGTGGTTCATCTATCATTGTTGTTGAAAAATTTTTTGACAGTCGCTTGTGCTGTCTTATGTTGATGTTGGGTCGGGTGGAATCTCCTGAGGTGATCAGTTCTAATAGTCACATGCCGATCATCATCTCGATCCACTATTTCCATGATTTTATCCGTATCAACGGACACTGGCCGTCCGGAAGGCTTGGGAGTTTCGGTATTGAAATTACCACTTCGGAATCGCCTAAACCACTGTTCGGCGGTTTGAATCGAAAGTTCGTCATCTCCTAAGACAGCAATAACCTGTCTGCGAGATTCCGAATTTCTTCGTTTGTGAACTCTATTTCAATCGATTGTAATTTTTTGACGTGGAAGCTCATGTAAACAAACTATATGCCATTTTAAAGGTGATACCAAAACCTTTCAAACGATATACAGCATTGCCAGATACGATTATATTTAACTTCACAAGCGAAACGCGAAATTTGAAAGTAAAAACCAGTATGTCATTACCAAACAACCTCTATTTATTGAATCGAACGCTTTCTTGAAGTCGATGAACAGGAGGTACAGTGGTGCTCTCCATTCCACAGCTTGTTCGGTTATGATGCGTAAGGTTTTGGCTTAATCTACGCAGCTCCTGTGTGGTCTTAAGCCTGCCTGTTCATCTCTTAGTGTGGGCTCAAATTTATCAGTTATGCGTTCGTTCATAATTGTGGCTAGGACTTTGTAACTGGTGTTCAGTAGTGTGATCCCTCTCCAATTGTTGCAATCGCTAAGGTCTCCTTTCTCAGGTAATTTCACTATGACTCCGCATTTCCAGGAGTCGGGAATGTGTTCGCTCTCCCATGCACTCGAGAATTGCGGATGCAATATTTCTACCATCAGTTGAGTGTCAACTGGGAGGATTTGGACTGGAATGCCGTCCGTCCCGGCAGCTTTTTTGTTCTTTAGCTTCTTTATTGCATTTCCGATTTCTCTCACTGAGGGTGGGGCGGATGATATTCTCCGGTTCCCATTTGCTGGCGCAACGCTTCTGTAGTCATCGCTCCTGCTGGGCATGTCGGAGTTACTGATTTCCATGAAGTGTTTGCGCCATCTGTGGATTTGGTCGTCGTCGCTAGTGGGAAGTATTCTGGCATCTTTGACTGGCTGGGTCTTCCTTCTATAGCCTCCTGAGATTTGTTTAATTGTCTGGTATAGTGATCGCATGTTGTTTTCGTTTGATGCGCGTTCTGCATTATCTGCCAGTCTATCCAGTAGGACAGCTTTGCATAGTACGCGGTGTTCGTCGCGTCTATTGCTATCACGGTCAACTAGTAATTTCAGTGAGTTCCTTTTGTTGATCGTGTCCCACGTTGCGCTAGGGATCCAGTTGTTTCTTCTTTGTTGAGGAGTGCCAATGATGCCTTCTGCGGTGGTCTTTAGTGTATCGCACGTCTGTTCCCATGTCTGGCCTTGCTGCGGTAGTAGGTGGGTGCGTAATGTTGATGCAAGTCTGGCGCTGATGTCCGTTTCGCCAAGTAGGTGTATGTTGAGGGGGGACGGGCGGTGGTTCCTTGAGTCGTCAGCATTTCGCGGGTGATTGAGAGCTCCCCAATGATCAGCTCGTGGTCGCTGTCTATCGATGCTCCCCTCTTGTTCCTTACATCCAGTAGAGATTTCCTCCATTTTCTGCTTATACAAATGTGGTCTTTGGTTTCGTGTATTTCCACTCGGAGATGTCCACGTGTATTTGTGGATATCTCTGTGTGGGAACATACTTCCCCCAATGATTAACTGAAACATTTGGCATACTTCTATTAGTCTATCTCCATTGTTATTACGCGTGCCTATACCGTGGCCCCCAGTGGCTGACCTCATTCTGGTAGAGTTGGGTCCTATTTTTGCATTGAAGTCGCCCATGAGAACAGTGATGTTGCCTCGAGGTATGTCAGTGAGAGTGGTAGTAAGGGCGGTATAGAAGTCGTATTTGATGTCGTCGTTTGCGTCTTCGGTTGGGGCGTAACACTACACGATTGCTATTGGTCTGGACCTACATCTAAACGTCGCCCTAATGAGTCTTTCTAAAATGGGGGTCCACGAGTGTAGTGTCAAATTGCGCTAATCTAGACGGGTCTCTTAGAGCTCTAACGGAAATGTACGCATGTGTAACCTGAGCGTGTTTTCGCGATTAGATTTCGGCTACTTACGATGTATTTTTAGTTACATGGCGGACCGATATAAAAAGTCTGTTGTCATTGAAGGTGGGACACCTGGCCTCGGTCTAGGTAACCTATTACAATTTATAAAAAGATTTCAAAATTCCTTATGCTTTTCTGGATAAAGGAGGGCAATAAAACCCCACTGTACATTAATATTTACATAGATATGTATGTGACAACAGAGTTCCTTAGGACTACTTAATTATTATAAAATAAGGGCTACTATAAATTGAATATATTTTGTTTTTTCATTTTTCAGTCCAGCTGAAACAAGTCTCCTTACTAAAATATTGGGAAAGGGGCTGGTAAACACAAAGTTATCGCTTGATATTCAACAAAAGAACCCTAATTCGCCCTTACATTCAGTAAAAACGTTTGAGGCACTTCACCTGTAAGTAAAAATAAACATTTTTTCGCACAAGCCTTTAAAAAGTAACAATACATTTTTTTAAATCGTGTTATATACACGTTATAGGAAGGGAGAGCTTTTAAAAGGAATTTACGCTATGGGGTTTAACACCCCATCAAAAATTCAAGAAACTGCCCTGCCAACTCTGCTTGCGGATCCACCTCAAAATATGATTGCACAAAGTCAGTCTGGAACGGGTAAAACAGCTGCGTTTGTGCTTGCCATGCTAAGTCGAGTAAACGTTAACCTAAATCACCCACAGGTACATATATATAATTTTTGTGTATTTATTGTAATTTGTTGTTTATTGTTAGGCCGTAACATTTTTTAAACTATTTATTGAATGTTATTTTTCTTCAAGTTGTTTTTTTTTGTTAATCCTTGCGATACTTTATAATTTTTTTTTGCACGTTTTGAATCCAATTTTGTAGTATTTATTTCAGTATTATGGGCCGATTTAAACATTAAATAACTTAAAAGAAAAACAAAAAAAAAACATATTTTTGAGTTAAAAACCAACTACGCCAGTATGTCTGTGCCTCTATCTATTTCTATGTAATCTAGTCTCTCAGTTTTAAAACTATTTTGCTATAACTTTACCAAAAGTTGTGTTTATAAGTCGGAACGGATAGTTACCATAGGAGAGATCGAAAAAAAGAAACATTGAGTTTTTAAACTACCCTTTAATAGAGACAAAAATTTCATAAAAATCGGACAACTAACTTACCTGCGAGTAAGGCATTTATGTCCACATTGTGGGCGTGGAGTTGGGACCGAAATTCTTCAGGATCTGTCCCAGTTGCTCTTCTCATCCTCTCAAGATTATCGCACCTATTACTAGGTTGCGATTGAGCCGATCAATTGATCGATTAACGTACAAGTATAATGCCATGATATTCACTTAACACGAACAGAAGAAAAAAGAAAACGTAAGTTGATAACGGCCTCTCGCTGGCGCGACGCGCGACGCGAGAGGCAAACAAAATACAGCTTTAGACTTGTAGGTCAATGACCGTTTTTGCGATTAGCAGTGGCCACCGTTTACCAGTGGTAAAAAAGACTGCGCAAGAATGGCACACAATGGAATGCTGGGGAACGACTCAAGATTTTGGCTGCTCAAGCGGATCAAATGGAACAAGAGCTGTCGGATGCTGGCTCAATTAATGCTGCTGACCCTGCTAGGCATGATAAATCCTCCAAATCTAAGCCCCCAGCAATATGTGTACCGAACGTAAGCGACCCGCTTTTCTTGGAGCAGACCCTTAGCCGAAGTATTGGTTGCACCAACTTCAATATTCGTACTTCTAAATTTGGTGCATCCAGAATATATACAGCTAACCCTGACGCTTTCCGTATAGTGGTTATAGAATTATCAACGTTCTGTCAGTTTTGGCATCACCAACTTGAAGAAGAGAAGCCGTATAGAATAGTGGTGAAAGGAATACATGCCAATGTTCCTAAATCATAGATCGAAGAAACATTTTCTGACAACGGCTTTGAAGTTCTTAATATCTATTGTCCCAAGAAATCTGACTGGAGGAATATTCAGATTTACGAGGAAGACACTGAGGCCACAATCAACTACAAAACAAGGCAAAACGTATTTTATGTTAACCTCAAGCAAAGTCCGAACGTAGCAGAGGCACTACTTATAACCCAAATTGGCAGACACAGAGTAAATATAGAACGTGCTACTCGTAAAAAAGAATTATTGCAATGTCAAAGATGTCAAATATTTGGGTACTCGAGAAATTACTGCGTCTTGGACCCTGTCTGTGGTAAATGTAGTGGTCCTCATAATACAGGCTCTGTGCTCTGTACTAGCGAAACATTTGAATGCGTAAACTGCGGAGGTGACCACGCCTCGAGTGATAGAAACTGCCCTGTTAGAGTAGAAAAATATAAGAAATTAAAGGCTAAGCCTAGGCTCCCCAAGACTGATGATCTAAAACCCACCTCCCGTGGATTTATTCCATCTGAGGCATAAAGAACCCAAGTTTCTTACGCCGATATCGTTCGACCCAACAATTTCCAAGCAAAGACCTCTGTTACACTGCAGAGTGACGCTACTTCACCCTCAGATCCCAAGCTCAGCCACAAATTCATGGCTGTAGACAACTCCATTCGTGCCATTAATACAAAAATGGACCAACTCTTAAAGCTTATGCAGGAAACTATAGAGGCCAACAAGGCTTTCAGAGAAATTGTCCAGGTTCTTATCGCACAATTGACGAAATGACTCAACCAATCATGAGCATCGGTCTGTGGAACGCTCGCGGTTTAGCACGAAATTCTGAAGAACTACGGCTGTACCTCAGCGCACATAATTTAGATATTATGCTGGTCACAGAAACACATTCGCGAGTTGGACAGAGCATATGCCTGCCTGGGTAGCAAATCTATCATGCCCACCATCCAAGTGGTAATAGCCGAGGTGGCTCAGCAATAATTATAAGATCTACCATAAGTCACAACCCCCTACCGCCCATATGTGTTAATAACAGACAGATCTCGAGCGCCCACCTACAATCATCAGAGGTGACCGTCACACTTGCGGCAATATACCTTCCTCCAGCAGAAAGATGGTCAAAACCTGACTCTGAATCCATGCTTGCCGCATTAGGCAACAAATTTATTGCTGGTGGAGATTACAATGCGAAGCACGCTTGGTGGGGTAACTCGCCGACCTGGTCTAGAGGAAAAATGCTGCAGGAAGTCATTGCGAATGAAGAATACCAAGTTCTAGCTACGGGCGAACCCACGTTCTACTCATACAACCCCATGATTACACCATCGGCATTGGACTTCTTTATAACCAATGGGTTTGCAATGGGCACGTTAAATGTAAAACCCTACATGAACCACTCCCCTATTTTGGCAGCTTTACATACTACGATGTTGAGAAAACCCCAACGCTTGCGACTCTTTGCCCGCGGTGCAAACAAAAACATTTTTAAAGACCACCTTGAACAGTTGAGTTAGGTTAATTTACAAATTCAGGATGCTTCTGATATTGACAATGCCATCCTTATTTTGTTGAGCAAAATAAGTCAGGCTGCTGAGCTGGCATCACCCAGATTTCAGCATGACACAGCAGCCACCAGAGTACTCCAGCTTCCGACCAGAATTGCCTCACTCCTCAATCTAAAACGTAAGGTTAGAAGAGAGTTTGCTAGGACAGGTGACCCTCGGATTCTACAGATACAAAGACGAAGGCCCTCGCCCGAAGAAAGCAGGAAAGTTTTGACAGCTTTCTTGAAAACTTTGGCACTGACGCATGTACTAATTACTCACTGTGGTGAATCACAAAGCGCTACAAGACACAGCTCACCCCAAAATCAGCAATTTAAAAAGCGTCAGGTGGCTGATGTCGTACGAGTCTGGAGAAAGCTGAAGTGTTCGCTAACAACCTTGAGCAGCGTTTTAAGCCTTATAATTATTCGCCAGGAACCCTACGTCGACAAGTAGAAGAATATCTAGAGTCCCCATTCCAAATGAGTCTATCTACTAGTCCTGTCACGCTGGATGAAGTAAAAATCTTAATATCTAAACTGCCTCGCAAGAAAACTCCAGGGGAAGACCTTCTTGACAACTGGACCATCCGACTGCTCCCAGACCAAGCCTTGCAGTTGCTGGTAACGATTTTCAGCAGCGTGTTTAGTATTGGGTACTTTCCAAAAGCCTGGAAATCGGCGAGTGTCATCATGATTCTTAAGCCTGGAAAACCGCCGACGGACGTAGACTCATATAGGCCAATCAGTCTGCTCCCATCTCTGGGAAAAATCATGGAGAGACTGACCTTAAATCGGCTTCTTACTTTGGAGAACGTTACCAGCGAGATTCCGAAGTTCCAATTTGGTTTCCGACTACAGCATGGCACTCCTGAGCAACTACATAGAGTAGTAAACTTCGCTCTAAAAGCTTTTGAAAAAAAGGAATATGCAATCGCTGCCTTCCTTGACATACAACAGGCTTTTGACAGAGTTTGGCACCCCGGGCTGCTGTATAAAACGAAGAGACTTCTCCCACCTCAGCTATACTAAGTTGTAAACAGTTTTCTAGAGGATCGCACATTCCATGTCTCTGCTGATGGGTACAAATCGTCAAACAAAACCATATCTCCTGGAGTCCCACAAGGTAGCGTCCTTGGGCCTACTCTGTACTCTATCTTCGCCACAGATATGCCTTCACACACTCCAATTACTGAGACTGAGGAAGAAGATGTGCTGATCGCAACCTACGCTCACGATACAGCTGTTCTCACAAAAAGTAAAAGTATATTGGCTGCCACTTTTGCTCTTCAAGAAGACCATATCTTGATGCATTCTATCAATGGGCTGTAAATTGGAATGTCCGCATTAACGCAGAAAAATGTGCGACGGTGCCTTTCACTAACCGACGTGGTAGCTGTCCTGGCGTGAACCTCAATGAAAGCCCAATCAGCTCTTTTCAGGCATATAAATACCTGGGTGTCACCCTAGATAGAAGGCTAAACTTTGCGAAACACATCACATGCGTATAGCATTCCTTCAGAAACAAGGTCGCTCGTATGAAATGGCTGCTTGCACCACGGAAGAAACTTTCACTAGCCAACAAGGTTAAAATTTATAAGTCCATCTTAGCGCCTAGTCTTTTCTACGCCCTCCAAATTTATGGAATTGCTGCAAAAAGAAGCTTAAACAAAATCCGAATTCTGCAGGCTAAAACCCTTAGAATGATTTCTGGAGCGCCTTGGTATATGCGTACCAAAGACATTGACATTGCTGACCCACGAACAAGAACTAGAAGAAGACTGAAGCGACACCACCCTCAAGACCTGCCTGACCAGGTTTTGACCTAATAATTTAATTATTTAATTTTATATGTCTGCTTTATATGTTTTAAACTACCGTATTTCCTAAATTGCCCTGAGACCGAGCGCGCGGACCGTGCATGATGATCTTGAATATTCTATAACTCAAAATCTACTTCTGATACCATTCTGAAATTTTAGTATGTTCATCAGAAGAATTTGAAGGATTTATTGTGATAAAAAAAAAACGAAAATAAAAATTGTCCAAGTTGGAGAAAAATTAATTTGTTATAAACATTTGAACTTTTTGTGGTGAAAAATTGTTTAAAACTATCATTTTACGAAAGTTTTGCAAAAAAGAAGGAAGGATGAAATTTTTAGTTCCTATAGATTTTTTTCTGCGATGTACGGTTATCGAGTTATTGGGGCTGTAAAACGCGACTGTCATCAAAAAAAGGGCAGTTCATCAAAAAATTCGAAAAATCTTAACTACCTATGTCAAAAAAATTTTCAAAAATTTTTTGAAACATCAGACAGCGAGAAGTCAAGCGAGGATACAAGCAAGGATTCAAGCGAGGACGAACAGGAAGAGCAGGACGAGGAAGGATCAACGGCGTGGACGAAGGACACGAGGATCCCAAGCAAGCAGTCAACAGGGAGCAAGATCGCTACGTCGAGACGTTCGGGACTTAAAGTTGCAAGTCTCCGAATTGAGACACAGGTAGCTGAGGTCCTGTGGGCAGCACAAGAATCGAACTAGGCGCCTGTGACGACCCCTGGTTGGAGACATTGAGCCTGGCGTATTGCCCGGCGGGTCCTGACCAAGTCTACACATACGAGTCCTTAATCGAGTAAACGTGTCCTCGGTGGGGAAGAGTCAAGAACCAGACGCATACTGTAGAGTCTACCAGACCGTGATCCGGCGCTTGGTCCGTCTCGTGGCGAGAGTTGCGTTCTAGTGCGACAAGGACGCGCAGTTGAACGGCACGGGTGTTAAAGGTGCTGCTGTGTCTGCCAGAGTCCTGGAGCAGCGAAACCCCGAGACCCAAGGATTGAACAGCCCCAGAACGGAGTAGTAGGGAGCCCAGATAGTCCAACTCCATCACGTGAGGTACCCGACATCGACGGTAGCGATCGAGCGGGAGCACAGGAGAGGGATCAACCCAGGAGGTGACATCGAGGGAAGCATACCAGAGAGCGTCGAGAGCAGCATACCGAGGCGAGCAATATATCAAATTGTCAGATCTAGAGATCAAATAAACAAGTTTGAAGTCGAGAAATCAACGTTGTCTTCTCATTCACTGGTGGGCAATCACAACATATAAATTTGGTGGGACGAACGTACAACCATTACTGAGCTAGCCGCACAAACCCGTAGCGAGCATAAAAGCAACAAAAACAGTTCGTTACAACTTCCATACTAATATATAAATGTGAAAATGTTTCTGTCTGTCTGTTACTCTTTCACGCCTAAACGGCTGAACGGATTTCGATGAAATTTGGTATGGTGATAGATGATAACCTAGAAATCATAATAGGCTATAAATAATCACGCCATCGTTCTTAGGTGGTAAGCAGCAGGTGGCGAAACGAAATAATCACGCAATCGTTCTTATGGGGTAGGCAGTAGGCATTACGTTTTAAGTAAAAAGGTTTGCTTTATCAAAAATTGTTTTACGTTGTAGTTTTTAAAACTCCCGTTATTGTTTTCGATATGCCACGCAAACGTAAATATAATCTAAGCAATATTTCTAGCAGAGCTCGAGCTGCAAAAGTTGGTAGAGGCCAAGAATCTGAAGAGCAGACTCGGACGCGTCAGATGTTAGATTCTCAGCGTCATGCGACTCAAAGAGCTTCTGAGACCTATACGCAGACTCGGGCCCTTCAGACCCTGGATGCTGAACGCCACGCATCTCAAAGAGCTGCTGAGACAGTGGAACAGACTCAGGCACGTCGAGTTTTAGATGCCGAACGTCACGCGCAATTGTTTGCGGCAGAGTCTGATGAAGATTCACAAAGACGACGTCTTTTAAAAGCTGAGTGGCAGGCAGAAAGAACACGTACGTTATCAATGAGAAAGTGGGAGACGTTTAATGGTGCCTCTTTTGAGTATGACCCTTTGATCGACTATGTTAATCACCGATCGGATATCATTGGGAGAATGGATAAAAAATGCAGATATTGTGAAGCACTGAAATGGAAAGAAGAACCTCCAGGTATGTGCTGTTCTGGTGGAAAGGTTTAAATCCCATTACTTGGCGAGCCAGAGGAACCTCTCAAATCTTTACTTTTATACGACAGTAACGAATGGCGCCGGTTTTTAAGCAGGATTAGAAGGTATAATTCTTGCTTTCAAATGACGTCATTTGAAGTAGATAAGGAGGTCGTAATGCCTGGATTTTCACCTACTTTTACCATCCAAGGACAGGTGTATCACAGAATTGGTTCCTTACTTCCCGCTAATAATGAACAACCAAAGTTTTTGCAACTTTAAAAAAAAACCCGGGCGAAGCTGGGACGGGCAGCTAGTCACCCATATATTGTCGTTTTTTTTAGAAATCGTTTTTAATCTAATTTATTTACGACTAATCGAGCACCAGGGTCACACTTTTTAGTATATTTTTAAAGCTCATTGTTTTAGGTACTATCGACGAAAATATGGTAATTATTCGATAACATTTGTAGAAGCTATAGCAAATTAAACATGGAGGACCAAAGTGAGCATTTTCGGCATATTTTGCTTTTTTACTTCCAAAAAGGAAAAAAAGCGGTCGAAGCTCGCGAAAAATTGTGCGAAGTGTATGGTAAAGATGCCATGAGTGATCGCCAATGTCAGCGCTGGTTTGCCAAATTCAGGCTTGGAGATTTTGGAGTTAAAGACGCCCCACGTTCTGGTCGACCATCGGCCGTTTTTGACGAACAAATTCAGGCTTTGCTGGATGAAAACCGGCGTTATTCAACGCGGGAGATGTCAGAGAAGCTCAAAGTGTCGCGTACAATGGTTGAAAACCATTTGAAGAAACTTGGCTACGTAAGCAAGCTCGATCTTTGGGTTCCGCATAACTTATAGGAAATTCACCTAGGTAAGCGAATCAACATCTGCTATTCTCTGCTGCAACGGATTAAAAACGATCCTTTTTTGAAGCGGATCATTACTGGCGACGAAAAGTGGGTTGTTTACAATAATGTCCAACGAAAAAGATCATGAAGCAAGAAAGATGAGCCAGCCCAAGCCACATCAAAGGCCGATATCCATCAGAGGAAAGTTGTGCTGTCTGTTTGGTGGAATTGGAAGGGTGTAGTGCACTTTGAGCTGCTGGGACGGAATGAAACCATCAATTCAGATGTGTACTGTCGCCAGCTATTCAATTTGGCGGAAAAAAAATTAAAGAAAAGGAGCCGGCACTAGCTAAACGCAAGGGTATAGTCTTTCACCATGACAATGTTAGGCCCCACACATCTTTGGTCACTCGGCAAAAATAAACGGAGCTGAATTGGGGAGTGCTACCACATCCACCTTATAGTCCGGACTTAGCACCTTTACCATTTGTTTCGCTCTCTTCAAAACTCTTTGAATGGTAAAAACTTTGATTCAGATGAGGCTGTCGAAAACCATTTGTCTCGATTCTTTGCTGGAAAAGACCAAAATTTCTTCGAGCGCGAAATTATGCAGCTGCCCGAGAGATGGTCATTAGTGGTCGAACAAAACGGCCAATACATAATTGATTAATTATAAGACCTGATATAAATAAATCATCTTTAAAAATATTGAAAAAAAAACGACATGACTTTCTTGCCAACTCAATATATTCTTACGAATCGACATACGTCTGTTCGTCTGTCGGTCTGTCGTCTTTCGTCAGTCCGTCTTTCCTCCTGTCTGTTTCTATGCAAACTAGTCTCTCAGTTTTAAAGTCTTGCTCAAACTAGGGCATATAACCTTAAATTGTTGCGTAGCAACGAACAGAATGATATCTTGAGTTTAAAATGTCATAGCTAATTGGGATGCTTTGAAATTTAAAATAATTTGGAATTAAAAAAAATTAATCCATCCAGCCGCAGGTCCCAATGTGCGACGTCTCTCCTAGATTCTTAGACGCCATAATATTTGCACTTACATAAATGATTTTGTAAATTAATGAATTTTATAACTATGGAGCTATATAATATTATTAATTGTGATTTTCTTAACAATCCATCTTTCGTGAAACACACTTTTATAATATAAACTTATAAATCACTTTAGGTTCTTTGTTTGTCTCCGACTTACGAGTTGGCAATTCAAACTGGTGAAGTTGCTGCACGGATGGGTCAATTTTGTCCGGACATTAAGTTAAGATTTGCAGTCCGTGGTGAGGAAGGTATGTTTTATAGTTTATTAATAACATTTTGACAAAACTAACTGCGTTTATTTTTAGTCGACCGGAGTAAGAAAATCGAAGAACATATTTTGATCGGAACACCTGGAAAATTGTTGGATTGGGGACTAAAATTTCGCCTTTTCGACATGAAAAAAATAGCTGTTTTTGTATTAGATGAAGCTGATGTTATGATAGCAACGCAAGGCCACCATGATCAATGTATTCGAATACACAAGTAGGTTTTATTTATTTTAAGTTTTCCGATTTGTACGACATTTTTTTCTTTAATTAAGGGTATATAAAAAACTTGATATTACACAAACTATCATTATTATTACAACGGTATTGATATTACGACACTATCATTTTTATACTTTTGCAGAGCAAAGGGTATTATAATTTCAACCAGAAGTTTGCAACGCAGTGAGGTTTTAAAGCTATCTTGCTGAAACTTTTCTAAAATTTGTGTAGTTATTGCACGCAGTATATAAGTCGCAACGGGACGGATCGGGCGATTATATCGGAAAATTCTCTGTCCGTTGTTTTTGATCGGTTCGACTTGATTTCTTCCAGATGGTGATTTTTAACCACTATTGAATTTCGGATTAAATTTGTATCAAAATCGGATAACTCTTAACTTAATTTTCAGCTATATGATATAGTCGTCCGATTTTGATGAAATTGAACTCAAAATTCAAGAGTCCTTAGAAAAATCTATATTGCAAAAATCATGCTTGTCTGTAATTTTATTTCTGTTATTTCTATAAAGATTTTTCCATCTTCCTATGGTAGTAAAGTTCGGAAAATATATAAATGGAAATAAATTGAAAACGTCGTTCTTTTTAATGTCACAGTGCACAGTCACTGCAGTGACGGCCTAAAAAAATGGTGTTATTTGGGATTTTTTAAAAAAGGTATCAATCATTTCAAAATTTTCAGAATATATTTATACATGCGTTAAGAATATACAGTGAAATTTTTTAAAGAAAAAAATTAAAAATTTTAAGTTATAGTCGATCTCCAACGGCGCTAAAAAAAAGGTCCTTAACTGCTGCAGTGATCACGGCCTTCCCCGTGCATGAAATCAAAAAAAAAAATCTCGTTAAACTAGATAATATTGTCTGTACAATGAACAATGAACCACGATAAAAAAATTATAAATTGACAAAATGGCGGCGTTTAAAAAAAAAAAAAATCGAATTGTACCCTAAATTTTTATCGTTTTTGGCCTGCCATAATTCAATTTTTGATCCAATTATTGTTCGGAGAACTATATATAGAACATGTAAAAAAAATTTGATAGTAATCGGAACATTATTTTTTGAGTAATCATTGCAGCAAATTCGAAAATGCTGTTTCGAGAAAAAGGCGTTTAAAGATAAAATGATCGTTTGCACTGTTATAAGAGCGTCTGCTCTTTAAAAACTCAAAAAACTCAAAGAATATTTAAGATATCGATTTAAAATTTTGAAAATTAAAAAAAAAAAGAAAGGAAAGATCGAAAAATCTATATAGAATTAATGGAAAACAAATAATAACATCGTTTTTTTTTTATCAGATAAGCATAATTTTTGGAATATTGAGTTTTCTAATGGCTGTCGAATTTCGAATTAAATTTTATAAAGTCGGACAGACGGAAAGCCGTACATACAAATTTCGATCCAGATCGTGATGATGATAAGGGTCTGAGGTGTCTCCTTCACTGTGCTTACTTCTGACTAATATTAAAATATTCTCTACAAGGGCTTAACAAGCTATTATGGTAATTGTTTACTTATTTCTATTTTCTTTAATTACAGAATGCTTAATCCGCAGTGCCAAATGTTGTTTTTTTCTGCGACATATGATAAAGAAGTTATGGATTTTGCTCGTCTCATTGTTACAGATCCTACTATAATAAGGTAATCACATATTAATTATAAACTTTGGTAATTTAAATAAAGGACAAACAAGAAAGGAAGTTAGCTTCGGCAATCCGAAGCTGATATACCCTTGCAGACATCAAATATGTCGAACAAAATACATAAAGGCTAAACAACACCGAAGCTATGACGATTTTTCCATTATTTTAAAAAAAAATTTTTTTTTTAGATTTTTTTCTATTTTTTGAGTCAATTTTTAACACAAATTCTCAACATAAATGCGCAGGTAATCAGGAAGAGTGTTTTTTAATTTTTAATTTTTTTCTAATTTTAAAAAACAATTTAACAGCGATTATTGAAGCTAAAATCGCACTTTTCACTTTCAAGTGCTCCCAAAAATAGACAAAAAATAAATTTTAAAAAAACTCTTCCTGATTACCTCGGGAAAATCATTATCTTTACAACGCATGTCACATTTTATTTTTAAGATGATCCGTTAACGCCCTATGATGTTCACCGCAAAACAACTTTTTCTTTAGGCGCTTCGGAAGATTAACCGCCACAGGCTTATTTCTTAATATTTTTTAATAATTTTTTTTTCTAATACTCTACAAAAGTTAAACAATATCATGTAATTAAGCTCAATAAAATAAACTTACTCATTTTGCCGCAAAAAAAATCAAACATGGCCCCTTTTTTTGGCCTTTAATACTTTACCCCCCTTAAGGCAGGTTCTCACCTTGTGGCAAACAAAAAATTAATTTTTTTTTTGGCTTATCGTATAGATATTTGCTCCGAAAATGTTATCAAAAAATTTTAAATCCAAATTTAAAATATTACAAAAGTTACAGGCCCTTACATGGAGCACGTGTCGAGCACCGGCCATTGGAAGCCAAAACTTTAAACGCGTTTATCTCGGAACCACGTTTTCGGACCTTACGGAAGTAATTGAAGGCGGTTGGGTTAACCAATCGTCATCAAATTTTTTTTTAAATGTTCCTAATTGTTTCCTTTAACTAATGAACTAGGATTATCCAAAAATATTGAAAACTGTTTAATTGAGAAAATAATTAGTGAGAAAAAAAGCGCGAAAATCGAAATTTTGTTTTCAAAAGCTAATAACTTTTGCAACTTTCATATTTTTTTTCTGATCCTAGTTTATTTTATGCACAGTACTGTACACTTTAATCACTTCCGTAAGCGGGACACCTTTTTGCCGAAATGTTGCAACTAAGGAACGCCCCCCTCCCGCCGCTTTTTTGATTTTTCAATTTTGAAATTTTTTTTCGCAAAATAAATATGTTTTCAAATAAATTTACAAATTTCAACTTTTTATCTTTAACCGTTTTCTCAAAACAATTTTTTTTTTTAAATGTCCATTTTTCGGCCCTACAAGGTGAGAACCTGCCTTAAGCCGAAATCATTTCTGTGCCAAAACAAGGTGAAAAAGGAGATATGACGATATTTTCATTCAATTGTCAAAGTGTTAACAAACATGAATCAGATTTACGAGGTAATGTTCTAAAAAATTCGGACACATTGTTGCTTTCCGAAACTTGGCTTGACGATGACAGGCATGTTAATGTTACAAATTTTGGTTGCATTGTACCAAAGACTATAGAATATCAAGATGTTGCATCCCATACAAAAAAATTTTCGTTTCTGTTTCGAGCTTCATGATGCGGTCGGTCGGGGTAAAAAGGGAAAATCTAAAAATAGAAACACGACGAACTGCTGCTTTCGGCTTTCGTCTTCGTTTTTAATATTCGTCGTGTTCCCAAATTGGGAATTTGTTCACAGCTGGCAATTTTCAGTTTATCGGGCTTTATACACTTTACAATAGTAAAAGGGTATATCAGACTTGTAAAGCATTATTATTTTATTTTCTTTAATTTTCATTTAAATCATAATTTTTCGTTTATAATAATTAAATTAAAGAATTCATAGGTGCAATATTAATAATGTTCCTTATTCAGATAATTGTGACGTTAAGTTTTCACACATGCGCGTGTACATACGCGTGTTAGGGTATTTTGCTGCTCACCATGATACAATTATACAAGGTAGTCCACTCGGCTTGCCGAAGGCGTTCGGTTTTGGTCCCTTATTTTCAGTGCGTGCCTGCTTGTATGTAGCCGTTTCACTCACACTTACTTGTCAAAGCTAAAATAGGGGACTATGGATTTTGCCGAGTAATTGTATCAGGCTGTTCACCACTTGCATGAACGCAAAAAAAATTATAAAAACAAAAAATTAAAAAAAAATATGTAAAAATAAAATAATTAAATAATTTACACAAAAAAAAAAGAAAAAAAAAACAATTTATGATATGGCTGGGCTCGGCGGGGATACGAACCCGGGCCTTCATGTACACGAGGCATAGCATCTACCACAACACCACCGGGCTTCATGAAGCGCGGCGAACTAATTGAGTATATGGTCTTAGCTGCCTTTAAAAGTGCAAAGTCATGTGGGTCTCCATATCAAGACCCACCATAGAACGATTTTTTTGAGGTCATGCAACATCTTGATATTCTATAGTCTTTGATTGTACAATACAAGAGACCCAATGTTAGAGCGGTCGGTGTAGGTATATATCAAAACGTAAATAGACTCCAACAAGTTGTGGTAAAACATAATGACGTTCATGCCCGTAACCATCAATTCGTTTCTAGTCATACATCCTCCTTTGGGAATTTGTGTGCTGCAGAATGCTCTCTGGCTTATGGGAAAAAATTTATTATGGTCTCAATTTATATCTCACCAGGTAAATCGATTACTGATATCAAAGATTTTATCCACCACGTGCTTCTGCCATACACAGAGGATGGTTCGAGATTATTGAATAAGAAATATCACGAAATTCTTATGATTATTTCGTGAGATTTTAATGTGATTTTTTTGGAAAGCAAAGGGTATTATAATTTCAATCAAAAGTTTGCAACGCAGTGAAGGAGACAGATCAGACCCCATAGAGTATATATATTCTTGGTCAGCATCACGATCAGAATCCAAATACGTATGTACGTCTGTCCGTCTGTCTGTCTGTCTGTCCTCCTGTCGGTTTCTATGTTAACTAGTCTCTCAGTTTTAAAGCTATCTGGCTGAAACTTTCACAAAATTTGTGTAGTTGTTGCACGACTTGTAGTCGAAACGAGCCGGATCGGCCGACTATATAGAATAGCTCCCATACTAGAGAATGAAATAAAAAATTCTCACTCTGTTGTTTTTGATCAGATCGACTTGATTTCTTCCAGATGGCGTTTTCTAACTGCTATTGAATTTCGGATTAAATTTTATCAAAATCAGATAACTCTATTATAAAGCTGCCATAAATAATGGAAAAACAAGAAAGGAAGCTCGGCTTGCCGAAGGGAAACAACAAATGACTCCTTCCCGACAAGGGGAAACAGACAAGTTTGTAGGGATAGGGTAAACCGCTTGAGAAGGGGCTTACACAATGCATTGGCACAGTGTTTACCCTGAAAGGCTCATGCACGTCATAATTAGATCTACAAAGATTTAAAGCTAAAGGAGCATAATTTCTAGTAAATCTACTTGGAACCGAGAAATTTAGTCTACTTAACAAGTAAGCACTGTCAATTTCACCACGTATAAGGTTATGCATAAATACAGTACCAAGCATCGTTCTACAATTAGTAAGTGAGGGCAAGTTAATGAGAAGCAGTCTATGAGAATATAAGGGTAGGATTAGGTTTGAATTCCAGTTTAGGCGGCGTAGGTCAAAAATTAAAAAGTTTTTTTGTACTGATTCTATACGATCAGCCTGAACTAAGTATTGGGGACTCCATACGGAATGCCCAATCCAGGCATTTCCCTAGCTTTATTAACCATGTTTGAAATATGAGGAGAGAATTTAAGTTTAGGGTCCAAGAGTACGCCAAGATCGTCAACAAGCGTTATCCTTTCCAAGGCATTCCCACTTAGCGAATAGGTGACATTATGCGGATTGACCCGACAAAACGTCATCAGCTAGCACTTCGAGCTGTTTAATTTCAGTAAATTGTCGTGACACCAGTTTTGAAAATTGTTTAGGTCTGCTTGAAGGTTTGAATGACGGAAATATTCATTATACTGCAGACACAGTTTTACATCGTCCGCGTACATAAGTACGCTGGAATGCGCAATGATCGATGGAAGATCATTAATAAACAAGCTAAAAGTAATGGTCCCAGATGGCTTCCTTGTGGTACACCAGAGGTAACTCTGAGGAGACTACTTAAGGAATTTTTGAAAAGGACTCTTTGCGTTCGGCCACTGAGATAACTAAAGATCCAACTTAAAAGATCTGCTGGAAACCCTATCATGTCAAGTTTGCAAATCAATAGGAAGTGATTTGCAGAGTCAAATGCTTTACTGAAGTCTGTGTAAATGACATCAGTTTGAAAATGATTTTTAAAGCTATTTATCACGAAGGAGGTGAGCTCTAAAAGGTTTGTTGTAGTAGACCTGCGCTTCATAAATCCGTCTTGGCATGGATATATGACTGATCTACAAAGGTGCTGCAAGTAAGGAGTTATTACTCGGTCAAAAAGCTTTGGAACTGCTGACAACTTAGAAATACTTCTATAATTGCTAGCAGCCGACTTGTTTCCCTTTTATGAAGGGGAATAACAAATGACTCCTTCCAAACAAGGGGAAACTGACAAGTTTGTAGGGATAGGGTAAGCAGCTTAAGAAGGGGTTTACACAATGCATTAGCACAGTGTTTAAGAACACACCCAGAAATCCCGACAGGACCTGGGGAGTAAACTGGTGTAACACCTTGAAGATCCAAAAGAAGGAAGCTTTCGCTTAAAGAAGGACAAAATATTAAGTTCGACTTAGGTATGGCGTATGAATATTGCTCAATTGAATGAGACACTGTGGAGTAAGTTGTTTGAAAGAATTGGGCAAACAGATCGGCTATTGCCTGATCAGTATAAGCCGTCATACTTTCAATCGAAAGCGAAGGCGGAAAGGAACATGATCTGCTCTTAGAATTAATAATATTATAAAACCCTTTAGGATCCCGTAAAAACTTGGACTTGCAACGAACTAAATAATCTTTGTAAAGTTTGACCGAGCTCTTATATACTCCCTTGATCAAAAAGTTCCCGGCTTTGCCACCGTGTGGCGCTCCCAGTCAAACGATTTTCCCAGATTGGTAGAACTGTTGTTTATATTCCCACCAATTTTCAGTGTCATCGATTGACATTTGTCAAAGTTACTTTGTGTTGTTTACATTAACCTTGTCTTCGTGTCTTCGATTTTTTTTTATTTAAAAAAAATGGATAGAAAACAAGAGCAACCAATTTGCATTAAATTTAGTGTTAAAAATGAAATTAATGTTTTGACTACTTTGGAAATGTTGGAGAAGTGTTTCGGTGACAATGCTTTGAAACTAACAACAGTTCGCGAGTGGCATGGACTGTTCAAAAGTGGCCGTAATTCCATCAACGATGATGACCGTTCTGGCAGGCCATCCACTTCAAAAACGGACGAAAACATCGGCAAAATCAAAGACTGGATGGCCATAAACCGCAAAATGACTTTTAGAGAGATGGCAGGGGAGTTGGACATTGCTTTTGGAACCGTTCAAGATATCTTGGCTAATGATTTGGGTTTCAGACGCGTCGCTGCAAAGTTGGTGCCAAAAGAACTGAATTTCATACAAAAAATGGATCGCGTTGAGGTCGCCAAAGACATGATTTCCAAGGCTGAATCCGACTCAACATTCATCAAACGCATCATTACGGGAGACGGGACGTGGGTTTATGAGTATGACACACATTCCAGACATCAAGCGAGTGAATGGCGTTCACCGAATGAGCCTAGACCAAAGAAACCACGTCGTTTTCAGTCAAAAAAGAAGGCAATGCTCACAGTCACAAAGGTCAAACTAACAACAAGGGATATTATTTGGGCGTTATGCGTCGTTTGCGTGAAGCTGTTCGCCAAAAACGGCCAGAATTATTGCAAAACTACTCATGGATTTTATAGCACGATAACGCGCCGTCTCATAATGCCTTAATTATCCGTGACCATTTGGCTAAAAACAGCACCAATACCATCCAACAACCACCGAATTCCCCGGATTTGGCTCGCTGCGACTTTTACCTGTTCAGTCGACTTAAAAAACCGCTCCGCGCAACGCGTTACAGCAGCCGAGATGAGATCATGGAAAAATCGAAGATGGCTCTGACGGCCATACCGCGAGCTGACTTTAAAAAGTGTTTTAAGGATTGGATCAAGCGCTGGCATAAGTGCGTTGCAGTCTATGGGGAGTAGGGGAATGTTGTCAGGGTTGGGCCATATTTTGACCTATGTCCATAACTTCTGAACGAATGACAATTTAGAATAAGTTTATACATTTTTGGAAAGGTACAAGCAAGAGAAAGTGTTCACCAAAAATAGAGAATAAAAAAAAACAAAAACAAAAAAAATTATAGGCGTTTGAAAAAAAAAAATGTAGTCAGAGTTGGGCCATGTAGTCAGGGTTGGGCCACCTTCAGAAAATCGTTGACAATATCGTAACGTGGTGGAATAAAATTGAATTCAGGTAAATCTGACATTATTTTGTTCATTTATTTAATTATTTGGGATTTTACAGTAAATATCAAATTATTCAGAGTTGTTTTTCGTTTGTAGCGAGAAACACTAAAGAAAAAGATAAAAATGATTCATCTTCTTTCAATCCATCAAAATATTTTTTCAAGGAAATCTATTTAATTTATTTTGCATATTTTTGCTACAAAAAACTTAAATATTACAACAAAAATCGAAAATACACGAATAAAATATAAAAATTATGATGGCCCAAGCCTGACTACAAAAGTGGCCCAACCCTGACGACATGCGGTATTAATCTATTATGGTATGATATAGCCAAACTATATCTATCAATGAAACTATATCTTAGTATGTATTTTGTAATATAACACCTATATAACGTATTTTTATGCTCACTTTGCGGATGACACGTTGTAATCTTGTGTTATTCCACCTTTTCGGCCAGGTTAAAAAAAAACTTTTTCGAGCACTTTTTTTTCACAGAACAACGACACGTAGAAAAATGAAATCCCGAAATAAGTAGTCACGTGAAAAGTTTCAAGTGAACGATAGAAGTTTCTAGACACCCACAAAACGGATGGTACTAGAACGAATATCCAAAATATTGAGATGGCCCAAGCCTGACAACGGTCCAACCCTGACAACGTTCCCCTACTTTAAAGGGGACAATATTGATTTTGATGAATAACTTTGTGTTTTTGATTTTATTAATAAAAGTCGGAAACTTTTTGATTAAGGGAGTATTTTCCAAAAACAGACTGACAACCTGAAATTTTATATTTTTTATAAAGTCTGGACTTGAAATTCCTAAGCCGTGAAAACTCCTTGCTAAACCAAGGTGGTTTATTGGATGTTGTCGGGAATTAACGGAAATAACTTGATAACATCGTTGTTTTTCATCAGACAATCATGATTTTTGGAATTTCTGCTTTTTTAACGATTCTTTAATTTTTAATTAAATTTTATAAAAATCGGGCAATTATGTATATCATATAGCTGTCATATGAACAATAATTGAAAATATGGAAAATAAATAGAACAATAGTCATAGATTCGATGTTGTTTAGCCTTGGGGGGGGAAATACAATTAGAAGGCCTGAAATGAGGGCTATCTTTGGGAGTGGATTGCAAGTAGGGTGTTAAATGAATCTTATCGATTCTTTTTGCATGTTATTAGGTAATTATTGAGCAATAAAAATCAGTCAAGTTTTTTGAAAAATATTGTAATTAAGCCCATTTATGATCAATAATGTGGAGTCGTGTTTTTAGGGAAGGACTTTGCGCCGTGCAGTCTCCAGGTGCAGGATCACGACTTAAACAAAAAACAGCAACTGGGCTTTAAACTTAAAAGTACAGCGAACACCATGAATTATTCCATATTTGAAAACAATTATTTTTCCATTAAAAAATTTGAAAATAAAAAAATTTTTTCAAAAAAACCGCTTTTTTTCGACTTTGTAAAAAAAAAACATGTTATAACAAACAAATATGAAAAACCGTTATATTCATGGGTTGGGGAATTTAATTTCAAACATAATGCAAAAAACCGCATTCGATTAAAATAAAATCTATGACCTGTACATTGCACGGCGACTTTGAAAACACTACTTTTCAGGAGAAGCGTTTAAAGTTTACTTTTGTGCATGTCCGCCATATGACACACCCTCACTAAATTGCGTATAACTTTGAAAATAAGTACCGGACGGCTTTATGCTTTTAAAGGCTTATTCCCAGACATATTTAGAGTACATTAATCCAAAAAAAATTTTTCGAAAAAAAAAAATTTCTAATTGTATTTCCCCCTTAATGTATTTTGTTCGGCATATTTTAATGACTGCAACGGTATATAAGCTTCATTTTTGTTTTTTTTTCTCTTGCACACGGCACCACCGATTCCAGAGTCCGGAACCACTCCTTTAAAAGATTCTTGCGCACGCCCAATTATCCAATTATCCTTGTAGCCTCCGAGTTCCGACAACTTTCTGTCTTCAGCTCTTGTTCACTTCCCTTTCCGCTTACAGCTCGCTTATGAGCTACACAGCACCTACACCTTCTACAACATTTGACTATCCCGCCAAGTTTTCATTTCTGAGCTGTGCCGTCTCCCCTTTCTTTAGGAATAAGGAGTGACTCCCCGACTAGCAAAACCTGGCGCAAGCCTAATCTTAAACCTTTTGGTTGCTTACGGCTCTTTTAAATTTACAGGAATTTAGGATCCATTTTAACTTTAAAGATTAAGGCAGGAAGAAGAATATTGTGATAACATTAAACAATGCTTAATTTATGTTGCCCTATTTTATTATTCGTATTTATTTTACATTATTAATTAACTAAAATTTACATTGAATTTACATTACAAACTTAAATTTTTTAGATTAATGCGAGAAGAAGAATCTCTTGATAACATTAAACAATATTATGTTCAATGCAACAACGAGGATGGAAAATACACCGCAATTCAAAACATCTATGGCTGCATTAGTATTGGGCAAGCCATAATATTTTGTCATGTAAGTGTAACAATAAAAGTTATTTATAAATTGTATCTATTTTAAAACGGCCTGGAACGTGTGCCATACAAGTCGGGACGAAAACACCTTTATTTCGAACAAACGGTACAGAATCTGAAGAATTTTTTTTGCCTAACTGAAGGCTTTTATTACCGTATCCGCTTTTGAAAATTGCTATGCTGATATTATAATTTCAATCAGAAGTTTGCAACACATTGAAGGAGACACCTCAGCCCCATAAAGTATATATATTCTTGATCAGCATCACGATCACAATCGAAATACGCCTGTCCGTCTATCCTCTTGTCTGTTTCTATGTAAACTGCTCTCTGAGTTTTAAAGCTATCTTGCTGAACACTAAAGGTGTGTAGTTATTGTACGCAGTATATAAGTCGGAATGGGCCGGATCGGCCGACTATATCGAATAGCTCCCACATTCTCGCGCCATTGGTTTTGATCAGATCGACTTGATTTCTTCCAAATGGCGTTTTCTAACTACTATTAAATTTCGGATTAAATTTTATAGAACTCGGATAACTCTATCATATAGCTTCAATAGGAAAGATCGAAAAATATTAGGTTGTTTGGTAATGGCATACCGGTTTTTTTTATTGATTTTTGACGATGATTTTAACATAGTTAGCATTGACCGATTTAAGTGCTATATGTAACGTTGTCTTCGATGATTTTCTGCCATTTTGATGGTAACTTGTATATGCCTCTCCTAAAGAAGTGCTTGTCCCTACTGTCAAAAAACTCGGCGATTCGATTTTCACAATCGTCCCTTGAACTCAATTTTTGTCCATCGAAAAAATTTTGCATGGCCAAAAACAGATGGTAAGGTATGCGGAATGAAATACGAACAAAATTAAATATGTTCGCAAAAGTTTATTAGAAATGATAGAGATAAACAAAACACACGATAACTAACAGTACTATTCCAGCTTGCATTACAACAAATTGTACCTTTCTTGAATGAAACTAGTCGCGGTAATGTCTTTGAGCACAGCATAGCGTCGAAATTTGATTTGCACATATTGTGCAAATAACCCATTTCAGCCAAAAAATGCAATTTTTCATTACTTTTCGGCTATGGGGTTCAAGAAAACTTTTGTTTATAAAGGTATTTTGGATATACAGAGTGTAAAAAAATGGAAATAGACCCTGGTTCCGGAAAAAAATGTGCACTACAGAAGTCTCAAGTTAGAGCCAAATTAAAGGCTGAAATTGTGGGTCGCCCAGCTAAATCGTATCGTGCGCTGGCAAAAAAATACAACGTGAGCGACAAAACTGTAAAAAAATATATAAAAGAAATGGGAGTGATAAAATATTCAAAAAAAACTGTTCCTAAAGTCTCAGATGACCAGAGAGAGACTATTAAACAGAGGCTGCGTGCGCTTACTAGAAATTTGTTTTCTGCAAGCAGTTCTAAAGTTTGCATAATGGACGATGAGACGTATTTTACAATGGAGGGTCATGAATGGACTCCAAAATATTACTTTAAGCTCCCTTATACTTAACCACCAGAAAATATTACTCAAATTACAAAAACAAAGTTTCCTGAAAAGGTTTTATTGTGGCTGGCCATTAATGAGCGTGGAATAAGCGATCCTGTGTTTTTTAAGGCAGGATTAGCTGTGAATGCGCAGCAATACAAAGACAAATGTCTTCCGAAACTTAAAAAATTTATTGATAAATATCATTCTAATGATAATACGGTGTTTTGGCCCGATTTAGCATCTGCTAATTATGCCAGAACGACACTGGAGGCCCTACACCATTTGGGCATCGAGTTTGTGCCCAAGCTGCAAAACCCTCCCAACGTGCCTCAGTTAAGACCAATTGAAAAGTTTTGAGCAAATTTGAAAAGAAATGTATATAGCAATGATTACAAACCAAAAAACATCGACTGTTTAAAATTAAAAATCAAAAGGGAGATTGCTAAAATTGATACAAAGGGAATTCAGGAGGCTATGCGCAAAGTACCCGAAAATCTAAAGAAAGCTGTTCGCTAAGGTCATGAATATTTTTTATAAAATAGCTTAAGATCTATTAAAAGACATATAAAAAATTGAATTTTGTCAGACATAGAATAAATTTGTTATTCGTATTGCACAATTTGTTCGTATTTCATTCTGCATACCTTAATCGCTTGGGGTGGATGCCAAGCTCCCGTAGTTTGTGACGCTTCACCAAAGATGTATGGGGCCTGGGGTTGTTATGATGGAACACAACGCCCTTACGATTCACCATGGCTGGCCGCTTCTGTTCAAGTGCAATCTACAATCGCTCCAGTTGTTCACAGTAGAGGTCAGAATCAATGGTTTGGCCATAGGGCAACACTTCATAATGGATAATTCCTTTTATATCCGTGCTTAGTTGCAGCTCCTCTGCGATGGTTCTAATAGTCATGACGATATCGATCCACTATTTCCATGATTTTATCCGTATCAACGGTCACTGGTCGTCCGGAAGGCTTGGGTGTTTCGGTATCAAAATTGCCACTTCGGAATCGCCTAAACCACTGTTCGGCGGTTTGAACCGAAAGTTTGTCATCTCCTAAGACAGCAATAATCTGTCTGCGATATTCCGCAGCAGTTTTTCCCTGTGCGAAATAAAATTTTCAAATTGCCCGAATTTCTGCGTTTGTGAACTCCATTTCAATCGATTATAATTTTTTAACGTGGAAGCTCAGGTAAACTATATGTCATTTTAAAGGTGATGTCAATACCTTTCAAACGATATACAGCATTGCCAGATACGATTATATTTGACTTCACAAGCGAAGCGCGAAATTTGAATGTAAAAACCGATCTTTCGATCTTTCTTATGGCAGCTATATGAAAGAGTTATCCGATTTTGATCAAATTGGAAAACGTCATCTGGCAGAAATCAAGTCGATCTGATTAAAAACAACAGCGTGAGTATTTTTTTTTTTTTTTTTTAAATATTGCGCGCTAGTCCCACGGCCCACAATCCCCCCAACCGACCGAGGGGCGACAGCCGTGTATCGTACGTCACGATTCGCGATAATTTTGAGAGAATAAAGAAAAAAATTAAAGACGAAAGATAAGGAAAGAAAAGTTAAATTTTATTTTAATTTTAAAATTTAAACGATCTAATTTCACGCCAGAAATGTTAGCATTAATCGTTTTAGGAGCTCCAGAGAGTCACAAGAAGATACTATAGAATACAGTCTATTATAGTCCGAACAAAGTACCCTGAAAAGCTCATGCACGTCATAATTAAGTCTACAAAGATTTAAAACTAAAGGAACATAATTTCTAGTAAATCTATTTGGAACCGAGAAATTTAGTCTACTTAACAAGTAAGCACTGTCAATTTCACCACGTATAAGGTTATGAATAAATATAGTACCAAGCATCGTTCTACGATTAGTAAAGGAGGGCAAGTTAATAAGGAGCAATCTATTAGGATAGGAGGGTAGGAATAGGTTTGCATTCCAGTTTAGGCAAAAATTAAAAAACTTTTTTGGACTGATTCTATACGATCAGCGTGAACTCCGTATTGGGGACTTCATACGGGTGCCCCAAACTCAAGGATTGGTCGGACCAAAAAAAAAATATTGGGAACGTATGGATCCTCAAATTCCTTCGACCATCATTTAATAAATCCAGGCATTCCCCTAGCTTTGTTGACCATGTTCGAAATATGAGGACAGAATTTTAGTTTAAGTTTAGGGTCCAAGAGGACGCCAAGATCGTCAACAAGCGATATTCTTTCCAAGGCATTACCACTTAGCGAATAGGTGACATTATGCGGATTGACTCGACAAAATGTCATCAGCTAGCACTTCGAGCTGTTTAATTTCAGCAAATTGTCGTGACCCCAGTTTTGAAAATTCCAATACGCTGGAATGCGCAATGATCGATGGAAGATCATTAATAAACAAGGTAAAAGTAATGGTCCGAGATGGCTTCCTTGTGGTACACCAGAGGTAACTCTGAGGAGACTACTTAAGGAATTTTTGAAAAGGACTCTTTGCTTTCGGCCACTGAGATAACTAAAAATCCAACTTAAAAGATCTGCTGGAAACCCTATCATGTCAAGTTTGCGAATCAATAGGAAGTGATTTGCAGAGTCAAATGCTTTACTGAAGTCTGTGTAAATGACATCAGTTTAAAAATGATTTCTAAAGCCATTTATCACGAAGAAGGTGAGCTCTAAAAGATTTGTTGTAGTAGATCTGCGCTTCATAAATCCGTGTTGGCATTGAGACATGACTGATCTCGCTCAAAAAGCTTTGGAATTGCTGACAATTTAGAAATACCTCTTTAATTGCTTGCATCCGACTTTTTATTTGATTCTCTTGTATGGGAGCTATCCGATATGGTCGGTCGATCCGGCCCGTTCCGACTTATATACTGAGTGCAATAACTACACAACTATTGGGAAAGTTGCAGCAAGATAGCTTTAAAACTGAGAGACAAGTTTGCGTAGAAACAGACAGGAGGACAGACGGACAGACGTACAGACGTATTTCGATTCAGATCGTGATGCTGATCACTGCGTTGCAAACTTCTGACTGAAATTATAATACCCTATTGCTCTCCAAGGGTACGAAAAATTCCACAGCCAATGTTCAATGTAGAGTTGGCGCCGGAAAGTAATCATTTAAAAAAAAAACAATGAAGTTCACCCAATTTACAAGCTGAAATATCTAGTGCACTCTAAGATCACCGTTGGGGAACCCCACACACGAAATGGACCCATACTATGCATAAATGGCCAGGAATACGGTCACACGAAAACTTACTGCACATTCAACGCCTGCCCTATAAATAAGGAGAACACTATGCCAAACAATTTAGTAATCGCGAAGGTTGTCCTGTCCATAAAGAGTGTAATTGCAGCTTGAAATCCTATAACCCGAAACTATTCTCCATATATACCATCGATCACGACCCCGGGAGTCTCTTTTGTGATGGCATTAAGTTACAATATGTACCAAAAAGAAGAGATTGATAGCTCAGTTGAAGATCTAGTGTCTGTTGTTATGTCACTAGCTGCTCAGCACTCCACCCCTAATACACCGGCTTGTAATCGTGATAACAATTGTCGAGCTTCTGGGCATATCCAACGAACTGCCACGCAATAAGACAAGGCTTCGGAGAAAGAGGGCAAGCTATAGATCGCCTGCCTCCAAGGAGTGGCTTAAAACAGCCAACTAACTTCTACGCTCAGCCCTAGAAGATGAAAATAATCGATCTCATTTGTCCTATTTGCAGCATCTCTCCCCAAACAGCACACGATATCCACTGTAGAAATCTTATATCGGGTATATGTCCACCAATCGAAAGCGAATCGCCATTACACACACAAACGGGAAAGTCATATCGCAGCAACGAAGAGAGGACAACAAATAGCGGCAAATAGAGGCTACCCTACCTATCATAGTCCTTCAAGAGAAGTGATAAGAGAAATAGAGGCTCAAGAAAAAGAAAGTGCCAGGACACGATTTAATATATCCTAAAAAAAATAGAACACCTAAAGGCCCATATTGTTATCCCAAGCCACCAATTTGGTTTCCGCGAGAAACACGGGACCATTGAACAAGTAATCCAAATAACCTCCGAGGTAATATACATTTAAAATACTTTTAAAGTCGAGAATATTGTTTCACAGTCTTTCTGGATGTCACCCAGGCCTTCGACCGCTTTTGGATGGACGGCTTGATTTAGAAAATTAAAACATTGCTTCCACAGAACACTCTCTCTGAATACCATCCAATTGAAGCTGCTGCTGTATATAATTTACACAGCAGACCTTCCGACAACCAGTCTTATAACAACCCAGTATCTAGTGATACTGTCATTCTAAGTCGGTCTAGGTGCCCCATAAGAGCAACGTAAAATTTATCAGATTATCTCGGGCTTTTAAAGAAATTGCTAGCAGATTGGCGCATAAAGGTTCACGAGCAAGAGAGCAAACACGTCACCTTTACCCTAAACAGACAAACTTGTCCCCCACCATATGTAAACAACATTGATATTCCACAAACAACTGAAGTAAAACATCTTGGAGTACACCTTGATAGAAGGCTTATTTGGCGAAAACACATCGAAGCTAAGAGAACACAGTTAAAATTAAAAGCGGGAAACCTACATTGGTTAATAAATTTCCGTTCTCCGTTCAAATTGGACTACAAGGTAAGGTACTTCTGTACAATGCAGTTCTCAAACTAATTTGAAAATATGGCTCAGAGCCACCTAGAAGTAATGCAGAGAGCTCAATCTAAAATAGTGAGAACTATAACTGGTGCACGATGGTACATACGGAATAAAAACATTCACAGAGAAAATTCACTATCTATCAGCATAAAAGAGGAGGTTGGTCATTAGCAAAAAAGTTTTCTTTTCTGTTCAAATAAGATCAAAATTTTGAATATTACAGTTTTATATGTACAGCGTGTTATAATAGTCAGTGAAATCTTAACGACTACCTTGCGTAAAACTGCCAATCAATTAGACTAAATTGCAAACATAAACCGCATCAATAACATAATATGCCACATGTTCCCAAGATTATTTTTATCTTCGTAACAAACAATTGACTGATATTTTCGCCTTTTTTTTTTTTTATTAAAATATATCGATGGTTATTGTTCCCTTGCAGAGCGTATTATGATTTCAGTCAGAAGATTGCAACACAGTGAAGAAGACAACTTAGCACCCATACTGGAAATATATTTTTTTATCAGCATCATAATTGAGATATCGAAAAAATGTCTGGATATAAATTATAACGCGATGTTTTTTATTATAAAGGGTGATTTTTTAGCAACTTTCCTTTGTAGCCCTAGTTTTTACAGATAACGCTAGTTTTTTATCTTGTAACCCTGGTATATATTTTCAGCTAGGCTTATATTTTAACCATGAATCGTTTAACAAATGAACAGTGGTTGCAAATCATTGAAATTTACTTTAAAATGAGTGCTCTGTAATGTTACGGTGAATGGAGAGCGATACCGTGCAATGATAGCTCTTTTTTTTGCCCAAAATGGAAGAGCTTGGCCTGCATGACATGTGGTTCCAATAAGCCACATGCCACACAGCACGTGAAACAATGGACCAACCTCTCAGGTGCATTCGGTGAACAGTTTATTTCACGTTTGGGTCCGGTCAATTGGCCGCCTAGATCGTGTGATCTAACGCACTTCATTCATTAGGTGGCACTACAACCCGTTTCGGGTTTTGGCCGACCTCAGCGTCTCCCTCCAGGCGCCTCTGCTCCTCGCGCGCCTCCTCCAATCGGAAATACCCAGTGCAGTCAGGTTCTCCTCCACTTGGTCCTTCCATCGGAGCTTTGGTCGTCCCCTTCGTCGTCGCCCGTAATCGACTCTCGCTTCAAACACCTTCTGAGCTGGAGATTATTTATCCATACGCACAACGTGCCGAGCCAGCGCAGACGTTGTATCGTGATGCGCCGGACCACGTCCACGTCGTCGTACATCTCGTACAGCTCGTGGTTCATCCGAATGCGAAAGTCGTCCCCAATCCGAACGGGACCAAAGATCTTGTGAAGAATTTTTCTCTCGAACACTCTAAGCGCTGCTGCATCCGTCAGTGATATTACCCATGCTTCTGCGCCATATAAAAGCACGGGTAGGATGAGTGTCTTGTAGAGTGTTAATTTTGTACGGCGAGAGAGGTCTATATTGCACATTTGCTTACTCACTACCCTTACTAACGCCCTTAGATTATTTTTTGTGGAGCCATGTCAAGGCTCCTGTCTATAGGGACAAGCCCGCAACAATTCGAGCATTGGAAGCCAACATCGAAGCTTTCATGCGCGAGATACCGGCAAAAACGTTGGAAAGAGTATGCCAAAATTGGACTAAGCGGATGGAGCATTTAAGCCGAAGTCGCGGCCAACATTTAAATGAAATTATCTGTAAACATTAAATTATATTGACCATACTATAAATTCAAACCAAGATTTCATTAATTTTTCTGACTTTTATGTGTTTTATTTCTTTTAAAAGTAGGAGTGCTCTTAAAAAATCATACATGATTTTTTCCTGAAATTTTTTCCCAATGAATTTCATAAAAATCGTAGGACTGTATCAAATATTTGTCAAAAAAACAATCGATGAAACGATGACTGCAAGGGTATATTCGTATAAACTTCGGTTCGCCGAAGCTTCCTTTCTGTCTTGTATTACTAAATATTATTTCATAGTTTTTAAGGATTTAATAATTCATGCTTAACATTAACAGCAGAGTTTAATCTTTTGTTTTATAGACACGAAGAACAGCTGCTTGGCTTGCAGCGAAAATGACCTCGGATGGACATTCGGTGGCGGTGCTTTCTGGTGATTTAACAGTTGAACAGAGACTTGCTGTTTTAGATCGCTTCCGTTCTGGACTTGAAAAAGTACTAATAACAACAAATGTTTTATCAAGGGGTATTTTTTTAATATATATATATATATATTCAACGTAATAAACACTTGATATCATTTATAGGTATTGATATTGAACAAGTTACAATTGTCGTCAATTTTGATTTGCCTGTAGACGTTGTAGGTAATGCGGACTGCGAAACTTACCTACATCGAATAGGCCGCACTGGACGATTTGGTAAGTTTTCATCTTTCATGTAATTTTATTATAGGGAGTGACGCTTGTATCAGGCATCCGTTTCTAAGATAACAGGCCGGATGAAAAGTCCCCGGTTTACCATAGTAAAAATTTTTTTTTTGCAAAATTCAATTTTATTATTCAACATAGTTGCCTTCGAGGGCGATGCAGCGATTATAGCGATTTTCCAACTTTTCGATGCCACTTTTGTAGTACTCTTTCGGTTTATCCTCAAAATAGGCCTCAGTTTCAGCAATCACTTCATCATCGGTCTTAAATTTCTTGCCAGCGAGCATTCTTTTAAGGTCCGCAAACAGGAAATAGTCGCTGGGGGCCAGATCTGGAGAATACGGTGGATGAGGAAGCAATTCGTAGCCCAATTCATAAATTTTAGCCATCGTTTTTCCAGACTTGTGACATGGTGCATTGTCTTGGTGGAACAGCACTTTTTTCCTCTTCAAATGCGGCCGTTTCTTTGCGATTTCGGCTTTCAACCGCTCCAATAAAGCAATGTAATAGTCGCTGTTGATTGTCTGTCCCTTCTGGAGATAGTCGATGAATATTATTCCATGCGCATCCCAAAAAACAGACGCCATAACCTTTCCAGCCGACTGTTGCGTTTTTCCACGCTTTGGATTGGGTTCGTCGCTTGCTGTCCATTCAGATGATTGACGATTGGACTCTGGAGTGTAGTGATGGAGCCATGTTTCATCCATTGTCACATATCGACGGAAAAATTCGGCTTTATTGCGCTTAAACATCTCCAAACACTGCTCCGAATCATCAACTCGTTGTTGTTTTTGATCGATTGTGAGCTCGCGCGGCACCCACTTCGCACAGAGCTTTCGCATGCCCAAATATTCGCGAATGATATGATGTACACGTTCCTTTGATATCTTTACAATGTCTGCTATCTCGCTCAACTTCATTTTACGGTCATTCAAAATCATTCTATGGATTTTTTTGATGTTTTCGTCGGTAACAGCCTCTTTTGGGCGTCCACTGCGTTCACCGTCTTCAGTGCTCATTTCACCACGTTTAAACTTAGCATACCAATCAATGATGGTTGATTTTCCTGGTGCAGACCCCGGAAACTCTTTATCAAGCCACACTTTGGCTTCAACTGTATTTTTTCCTTTCAAAAAGCAATACTTTATTAACACACGAAATTCTTTTTTTTCCATCTTTTCAACAATAACAAAAGTAGCTTCACTCAAATCGATATAACTCCCGAACTAATTGTCCGATTGCTGTCAAATTTTGACACTAATCGTTTGAAGGTTGGTACTGAATGAAAATCATATGGAAAAAAATCTAGTAAAATCTAGTATGGGTCAGACCGGGGACTTTTCATCCGACCTGTTATGGAGCCGGATAAGGTTGCTGAGGATAGGGTCCCGAATATGGAGTCTCTGGCCAGAAACCTACGGCTGGCTCCGTATCCGTTTGCGTAGGGAGAGGCATGAATAATTGACCGACCAACGTTGGATACTTTGCAGCAATTTTTTTCTGTGCATTGTGAAGCATGCATGGTATTGAGTAAATAGCAGGCATTGGCTAAAGAGTCTGCATTGAATAAGTGGCCTGTTTTTTTTTTTTTTAAGCTTGAAGAGCCGAAGTGTGGGTCTTGCACCCACTAAAACCCTGAGCCTATTCTCCGTTTCCCTCTCACGGTTAACCGCAAACCTATGCCTATGCCCAACCCTATAAAGATAGGACTTGAAGCACACATGTCCTGTCAGTAGTTGCGTCATGTACATATAAGTCAAATTGTGGTTTCTTTCTGACCAACGCTCCACATCGGGCAGAATCTTAAATTTCTATCTACCCTTTAAGCTACTACCATTGGTTTTTGAACGCTGAGACCACGCGGGTTCTGATCTATTCGATCGATGGATGTTGGCCGACCAGCTCCTGTGCCTGATTTGCAAGCAGGTCTGGGGGCGTCATGGCGGTTAGGAAAAGCGCACTGCCGTCGGAAATGGTCCGGAAGCCAAAAATGACTATGACGCAATGACTATGTAGGCGAGGTCGTGGCTGGAGTCCAGATCGGTGCCACATACATAATTGTAGATTTCACCACGGTGGCAAGAAGGCGCCTACTCTGCTGTTTTGGCCCGTTAATAACTACTTTTGCAACTTTATTGCCCGTCACGTCTAGGTGGAATTTGTACGTAAGCCGGTGGTGCAGCATTACGCCAAGGTAACTAATGAAAGGCTTGAACCGTATAGTAGTCCTTTCCACTTTTATTTGAGCGGTTTGAAACGGATTCCGTCTTGTGCTCGGCGAGCTTTAGGCAATGAGCACATAGCCAGATGGAAGCTTGCTCAATTGGCGCATTTGTTATTGCTTCGGCTTCAGTTAAATGCTTAGCTACTGCGACGACAGCAATATCTCTTTTTCAAAGCCGACCGCAAGGATTTATAGAGACTGGAGAGTAGCGAAGTTAGGCCTGCCTCGAAAGCATATAAGCAGAAAGCATTTCTGCGCGCCTCGGCAATGGCATCGGTCCACCAATACACCGGTGGGCATCCATTTCCGCCAGCACGTCTCTTTCGCATGCTGA